TATCCTCTAATTTAACCAATTGATACACTAACGTAAACAAATGCAAACCGGTTTCAGTCACATAAAAACAATAAAGCTGTATAGTATCACCTGATAATTAAGATTTTACATAGAATCTTAGATTATATATATATATATATATATATATATGCTTCATTCTAACTTGCATATTGCGAAGACAATGTATATTACTTAAATTTGGACAAATATAGTAGGCTTTAAATGGTATTTCAAAACACTTAAAACAGATACTAATACATTAAATAAATACATAAACAAAATAAAAGACCCAATAAAAATAAAGAAGCAAAATACATAAATGTTTAAATTTGAAAAATATTAAAATAAATAAAACTAAAATGTTCAGGTTAAAGCGAAGTAAGAGAGTCACATTTAAAACAAATATCTTTCTATTTTAGTCTCCAGTTTAGTTAGACGGTCACTTTTAAGTCAATAAATATTTTTATTCTGTTTTTTTTTCATGTTTAAAAGTTCTTTGAAGTTTTAAACTATAATTTCACACAAGCATTTGTAAAAATATTAGTCAACAATTTATTGTATCATCAGACCCAGATCTTATACCTTTGTATGAAACATTCATCAAACTATTTGCACTAAGAAAAAAGGAGAAAAATCATTATCAGAGAAAAATAATAGACTATATCTCGTAAAAATTTGAATGATCAGAAAATTGAATTTCAAGCCTGAACGTGCAATTAACTGAACTTTAATGATAAAAGTCTGATTTTTTTCTGATTTACAAGCCCTAAACTGAGCAAGAACACTTTTAATATCTAAATCACGGGTCTTCAGTGCATGGCCTGCCAGTGGAGTAGCTTTAATATAACTTTGAGGGGGTTATCGGTGATTTCCTACTAATATATATATATATAGGGATGGACTGATCATAAAGACACGGTTCCCAGTACAGTACAGAAGTCAGGCATCACTAGCTACGGTCAGTAAGCGGGTGAGTAACTACTTTGATCAGCCAGCATAGGGACAAAGGGTGCGCAGTATCGGCCCTCATTAAACTGTTCTACCGTAAAGAGCTTGACTTCGCACGCAGGTAGCCAGGCTACCGAAGCAGAGGAGCCATCCCCTCTGCAGAGGATCAAAATTGTGAAGGCATGTCTTCGAAATCATCCTCAGGGATGTATCCCAGAGAGTCACGAATAGACCATCGTGTGATGTAAATAAAGTACCTACCTGCCTATACATATATTCTAAACGTTTAAATTACAAAAAATGAATAATGAAAACTTTTTTATATCTACATCCCAGTTACCGTACAATAGTTCATTATTCAAGTCATATTTAATTTCGGAGGAGGTTTTGTCTCCCGAACCCTTCCCATAACTACGCCACTGTGACCTGCTGATGACATTTTAGCGGTCAGCAGAATTATTTCAGCAAGTTTAAAACAGTAGTTCGATAAGGATATAAAAGACTATTAGGACTGGTCGATAAATCGATGTAACAGAAAATATCAATTCTATGCAATAATCGTCGATCCGATGTTTGGCAGCTTCTCGAAGCATCAGAAATTGTGATTTACTGAGATGTGTACGATATTTCCCGATGCATCATTGACATTGATGTCTACTCGTGCGATGTTGAGCATTGTTCCCGAGAGCACATCGATGTCTTCAAGTTCGCGCGAAGAGCATTTCCCCCCGTAAGTGTGCAGTGATAGCTGTGGTGATGATCGTAATCTTTCTCGGTCTTTTTTACATCACGACTCCTCATTTTGCTGACATGATGAATACGAATGTGATTGAGAATCGAAGTGTTATTGAATCTCTTACTTATGGAAGGGTTTTCTTTCAATCGTGCAAATCCTATTGATTCTTTTACAATCAATCCAGCCTAGCCATTTAATGTTTTTTTTCCACTGCTATTTTGCAGATATCCACGTCTTTAAATATAGAGAAATAATTATTGAAAAAAAGCAACTTACTAATTGCGAACTTATGCAGTACTAAATGTAAAACATTAATGTACCGATACATCGCGATGACAAAATCTTAACATCTGCCAGTCCTGATGACTATATAAAAAGACCATAAAGATCAACAATTCCTGAATGGTTTAAAAGCTGGGCACAGTGACATCATGCATTACAAAGTACATTAATTACAAATTATACTAACAAACGTAAAAACTTTTTTCCAAGGTTAATGAAGTACTGATTAATAAAATAGAAATTTCCTTTTTAATTGCAGGACTATAATGAAGCACACAATGATTAACTGAATTCGTATTTGAAAAAATATGTTTTTACATCACTGTGTTTAAATTTGGAATATTACTTGTATCAAAAACGTGGATGTCAATTTTATGACCGATATCAAATGCCTCATCGCTATTATAACCACCAAATGAAAATATCTTGTTTTCTACGCTAGCAGCAGCATGATTGACTCTTTGAGGGCCACCTTCTAGGCATGTGATCCAATACATTATAACACTGAAATAGAAAAAAAATAATTAAGTAAAAATCGTAAATAAAATACAGTCCCCTGTTCAAATTATTAGACGCGCTATAAGATTCTATGTAAAATCTTCATTATCAGGGGATACTATACAACTTTATTGCTTTTAAGCGGCTGAAACCAGCTTGCACTTGTTTACGTTAGTGTATAAATTGGTTAAATTAGAAGATATATAATGTTAATTTGATGATAGGACAAATTAGACGATATAATACATAAATATAGAATATTTATTATATCAAGCATTATATTAGTATATTATAATAATTAGATCAAATTATTAGAAGCACTGTAGTTTTTTAATTATCACATGATTTGCACGAGTTTATATGCAATACTTTTATATTTTTTAACACACATGTAATGGGTTTTTATTCAGGAGATTTTTTATATACTTCCTATTTATATTTATTTTTAATGTATTGCATTACAATGTTAACCAATTGATACAGGAGCGTAAACAAATGCAAACCGGTTTCATTTGAGTTAAAACAATGCAGCTTTATAGAATGAAACCGGTTTACATTTGTGTATTAATTGGTTAATGTTTTAATGCAATACATTAAAAACAAATACAAATAGGAAGTACATAAAACCTGAATAAAAACCTGTCACATGTATCCTTAAATATAAAAGTAGTGCATATAAACTCGTGCAAAGCATGTCATTATTAAAAAACTACAGTGTGTCTAATAATTTGATCTAATTATTACAATATAATACCTGATAAAATAAATATTCTATATTTTATATCATCTAATTTATTCAATCCTAGAATATATATTATATATTGTCTAAGTTAACCAATTGATACACGAACTTAANACATTTGTTTATATTCGTGTATTAATAAGTTAACCTGAATAAAAACCTGTCACATGTATCCTTAGATACAAAAGTATTGCATATAAACTCGTGCAAATCATGTGATAAAAAAACTACAGTGTTTCTAATAATTTGATCTAATTATTACAATATAATGCCTGCTAAAATAAATATTCTATACTTATATAATATATCATCTAATTTATCCGGTCGTAGAATTTATATTATATACCGTCTAAGTTAACCGGTTGAAACATGAACTTAAATAAGTGCAAACTGGTTTCAGTTGTGTAAAAACAATAAAGCTGTACACCTGATAATTAAGATTTTACATAAAATTTTCTAGTATGTCTAATAATTTGGCCAGGGACTGCACGTAACTGTAGGAACCGATTCAGGGTTGAACTTTCAAAATCTGTATTTACACACTTATATATCGTCTAGTTATAAACTTAGAATTTGCTACTAAATAGTAAATAGATTGGAGTTAAACCTATAAAAAATTCATTCTAAAACACATACTTAAGAATATACTGGAATCAATCTTTTTTATCTCATAAAACATGAAATCTAATTTTGCGTCACGAATTTATATAATACTAACAGTAAGTTTTGATCATGAATAAAACTGCCATGCCTTAAAATCTTTTGTCATAAGTTATCAAAAATCGATAAAATAACAATTAATCATGTAAATCTCTTTAAATTATCGTGCCTGAACAATTTTTAAGACAATTATTAACTGTGTAGAGTATCTACCACTACAAAAATAAAATACCAATTCACTAGTATATAAGACATGTTAACTTCATTTTATAGTGGGGTACCTTTTCATAGATGAAGGTTGAAATTGTCGATAACAACACTTCCCACATTGGTGACGATTGATGCAAACACACCTACTTTGGCAGAAATGCCCACAACGATTTGAACACGCCTATTCCACATTGAACAGCTGAATTGCTACTCGTGACTAGGACATTGTCCTCCTCACGCTGTTGCTTTTCGGTCTCGATCACACAATGAACTACTTATACACTCAATTGCTAAAAGGCAACACAGGAGCAACCACGACCGTGAACTTAATACAGCTCTCACGATCAGCACACAAAATGTACGGTGATCTTAATACAGTTTTCCCGGCTTCTCAACAAAACTGCAATGAATCAACTAGTGGTATCCGTTCATCGAATTCTATTATATTCATACAATTTTGGTGGGGAAGTACTGTAGAGTATCTACCACTACAAAAATAAAATACCATTCACTATTATATAAGACATGTTAACTCAATTCTGTGTTGGGGTACCTTTTCATAGATGTAGGTTGACATTAACGATAAATACTATTCCCACAAACTGTTTTCATTCATAGAAGGTAAAATAGATTAATCCGTTTTTTTTAATAAAAAATAATTATACTATCAAATAAAATTACAGAGGTACTTCTTAAATATCCGGGTGTTTTACTCTTTAAATGGAGGTGAAGAGAGATCTTAAAAGCTAAAACTTCAAAGGATATCATTAAATTTACGTATGCAGACTGCTACATAATGTAACTGCCTTCAGCTTCATAAATTGCGAATTAGTGATGTGACACATTTTGAGCTTGATGGGTTTTTTTTCTTCATATTTTCTTTATTGACATGACCTCAGAATTGCTCTTTTCTGACTGGTGTCACTTTTTTTGCTGGGGTGTTATATGGTGTCAAAGGAAAGGCAAATGGCACTTTATTTATTTGTTGTAATAATGGAAGGAGCATAGTAATGGGGGGTTGTACTAAAAAATGTACTCTGTAATCTGTACACAAAAATTTTAACAGTTCTTATTTTAAGCTTCTATTTTTTGACTTTTAACTTTAAACACGTTGAAGACATTATTTTTCAAAATGTTTTCGGCACTATTTTTTTTTTGAAGAAAAATAATTAAACACAAGTTAGAAACAATTTCAAATTAAACAAAAGAAAATTGAAAATTTAAAAAAAAAAATTAATTTTATATTCTCTGTTATTATTTCAAAATATACAGCGAAAAATTAATGGTATATATATATACAATAGTATATAAAATTAATAGTATATATGGCCACTAGGTACAGGGCTACTTAATTTCAAAAATTTTGATTAAAAATTATTTGCCACTTCCCACTTTTTCGGCTAGAAAAATAATTCATCATTATTTTTTTAAATAAGTTATTATAATTGTTCTAAAATTAATTTAAATATTTTAAAAAATTCTGAAAATTACTATATTTCAAGCTTGTTTCTTAAAACTTTCCTTTGTTTTAAAAATTAATTTTGAGAAATGCTTCAAAATAAATGTCATTATAAATAAAAAATACTTTTAAATCATTTGAAATTTTTAATTTTTGAAAAGTGACCATATGTTTTAAAAAGTGGTCACTATTAAAAATGCCACAAATGGCCACTGGCAGGTAGAAAAATTTCCTTTAGAAAAATAATCCTTGTATTTGACAAACTTGAAGTATATCTATTTTTTCTTTATTATTGCATTCAATGAAATTTCAAAGTATTATGCTAAGTAGATCTGGAAAAAGAAATATTTTAATCTATACAAAATTTATTACTATTTTCCACGATTTAAATAAAATTTTTAGCAAAAACGTACAATTTATATCTAAATTACAAAAAAAAGGAGAAAAAAATTAAATAGACAGATGGATTTAAAAACACCTAATCCATAAACTCTAACCTAAACTATTTTTTAAAAAATAAATAAATAATTTAAACTATTACTTACTTAATTACAATATAGTAATATAAAAAAAAATAATAAATCTACCTTACATTGGAAATTAGATATGATTTGGATAAAAAATGATGTTGCACACTTTTGCTTACCAGAATTTAAATACACATAACAATTTATAAATCATTGAAAATAATTAAAATTTTAAAATAGTGACATGAAATAAAAGAAAAATGATCAGTTTCACTAAAAAATATATATGGTGGTCAAGGAGCTGATTTCATGTCAGATAGGTCCTTCTTACTGTGGGAGCAATGCTGGCACACCTATTATGGTGCCCCTGAAAGAGTTGTCTACCCTTCTGATAACTAAATGATTAATATCCGGATGGGATTTGAAAAAAAAGAAAGAAAAAAAACTTAAAATTTATCAATATAAAACGCAGATTGGAAGTCAAGTTAAGTAGGTAACACAAAAGAATGCATTTTTAGTCGTGAAAATTCAAGACTAAACCAAGTAATTATAAACAAAATAATTACACTACAAAATAAAAGAAAATTAAATTGAATGGAAAATAAACCTATTCATAAAAGATTGATCAGGATTTGAAATAGAAAAACGCGTGTGCTTAACCAGAATTCATGTCCGAAAATTAATGAATTATTGGAACCAATAACTAATTTTAAAACAAAGATACGAAATAATAAAAAAAATTGTTAGTTGCATTTGAAAATAATCAGTAACAATGAAGATGGGGGTTGATTGAAAATAAGGAATGGTTCAGCTCTAGCGCTGAAATAGCAGATACTGTGTGAAAAAAAAAGTTTTGAGAAAAAAAGTAGAATTGACAATTAGTTGCAGAATTGATAATTAAATTAGTAGACTTAATTAGTAGTTCTAATAACTAAATTAGTAGACTTAATTAGTAGTTGTAATAGATAATTTAATTAGTAGTTGTATAATTGATAACAAAAGTAGAGAAACAAATTAGTTATAGATTTATTTTATTTGTTAATCAACTCTAAAGAAACAGAAGCAACCAAACATTTTAAAACATAATTTAAATTTTCTTAAAATTAATTTTAATATGAATGAGGTTTATTGTGATTTATATTTTATGCAAATTTTTTATAAAAGAGATATTAGTTTTCTACAAATTTACAAATCAGGATAAAATTGATCTATTTTAATAAATGACTATCATTGGACTTAATGAAGGAAAGCCAATGTTAATGAAATTTGTAAAGTCCTAATTTCTGTCATTCAATATTTGAGTTTACAGTAAACAATTCTATATCAATTTTAAAATTTATAGACAACAAAAACAATTTATTATTTTCAAATGAAGAGATTCAATATTTGAAAACCAATATACCTGGCTGACAAATTCATAATAGGGATCTTTTGCAAGTGTCAATTATGTGTTTATTACGCATAAGAAACTACTTAAATAAGTAATAAAGAGCACCTGATGAATTTGTTGTAGTGTCAATTGAAGTCAACAATAACAAGAAATTATGACACATATTTATTTTGGAACAAGGCTGTGACCTAGCATTTATACATGCTCGTTTCACGAAAAAGTGAAGAGTTTAACCTCAACCACAAATAGATAGCTCTATTTAAAATATCTAAAAGTCATGAGCTACTTATATTCAATGATGTATTATTTCAGTTCTGAAATTATTACGACAAACTACACTTGGCTTCAAATGATAGCTTATTTTCAAATAATGGAATTTCATTCTGTATGATTTTTTGAATTTAAAAGTCTTTTTAACATTACATTTATATTTTAAAGCCTGTTTAGCGTCATCTTCTAGAACCAGAGGATTGGATGTCTTAGAGTGGCAGAGCATTTTATAAAAGGAAAAAAAAAATACAGTAAGTATAATTTTTACACTAATTAATATAAAGATATATTCTTGAAACATACCTATGCAATTGGAAAATATAATATTAAAAAATACAATATTAAAAAATACAATATAAAATAAAAGAAGGATTAAATGCCATCAGTTACTCTTCTTTCTAGAGCATTTCGTGTTGATTTCGTAACACAATCTTTACTTTATTACAACAACGACAAAACTTAGCTTGCAGCTTGCTAGTGGCCCCTTTTTCATGTTGCCATCAAAAAAAGTCAATATTCATTTCCTTTAATGTTAAGCTGATATTAAAAAAGATCGAGTCCGAGCGATCAGAAACGAAAGTAGGGAGAAGACTGTTTTGGAAAGGTCAGAGGTGATATGAGAAATGGAACGGGAACGAGATATTAATGAAGTTTTTGATGATATTACTCTAGCAGAAAATCGGTAAAACAACCATGTTTTACACTTTTTAAAAATTAATATTATATTTCTCTTTGAATTCCTTACAGGGTTGGTTGAAATACAATTTAAGCTTAAATATATTTCCATATATTTTGTTTTTATTACCGTTAGTATATATATATATCATTCATTATAAATAAAGGATCTCCCAAAAATTTATGTACCTATAAATTAATTAATAAATCATGTACATACGTATAAAAAAATTTTGACTAATGATACCAGTATGTAAATCTAATTAGAAAGGATTTTTAAGTGCAATTAATGTCTGAATTATTGCCTGACAAACCAAGGAAAAAACTGGTTTAATTCTATACAAATTTGTTATTTTACCAAATGAGTTGAAAAGTTTGAAAACCTCTCAACGTATTTTATTCATTAGGTATTGCTCATTTTGTGTACACAGAAGTGTTTGGATACTTAATAGTAGCAGTAAACAAGCAATCAGAACCCCATACTGTCTCTTTTTAACAGATAAGCAGAGCCGGATTATACCTTTCGTAGGCCTTAGGCATAGCCGTTTTTGGGCCCTCCCCTCCTTCCCCCACTCCTTCCCTCTTTTCAAAATATATGCTAAAATTTTTTAACATTTTTATTAATATAGATTTTAATTTACAAATTTGTTTATCGAACTTTATCTGCAATACCGACATACTGCCAATATTGCAGTTGATATCGATAATACCATTGTGCTTAGTTTGATCGATAACTATGTAAACACTTCACGTCAACAATACAACAACAAACCAGCAAAGAAAACAGTGAAATTCATAGTGAGATTAATTACAAGAAATATTTACGCCATTTTAGACGTATTAATTTCAGAAATGACTAAAAGGCGTAAAGCTTACAGTGATTTGTAGATAATTTCGGTTTTCTTGCTCACAAAAATTTGTCAGAATCTGAGATTAAACTAAAAGCGCAAAATTTGGTGAAAATTTACTCATCCGAAATAGAGGAAAACTTTGTAGATGAATTTTTACTATTTTCAAATTTGTATGAACATAAGTCTGCACAAGAAATGTTGAAGGCTCAAATTAAAGATAAACTTGTGAATACTTTTCCTAACGTTCACATTGCATTAAGAATATATTTGTCGATTCTTGGATCAAATGCAGAAGGAGAAAGATCTTTCTCCAGATTAAAATTGATAAAAAATTATTTGCGTTCAACAATGAATCAAGATCGTTTGGCATCGCTCGCACTTATGTCTATTGAATACGACATTTTGCGTAGTTTGGAATTCGACAGCATAATACAAGATTTCGTTGAATCCAAAAATCGCAAAAAAGTAATATATTAGATCATAAGATTCTGCAAAATAATTTATTACCGAAAAATATTATATTTTTATTTGTATCTTCATAATTTTGTGCAAAATACACTTGTTGTTTTTGATGCTAAATTATTTTTGTCAACAAATTTTTTTTCTCCCAAGTTTTTCGTAGGCACGTGCCTAGTGTGCCTATAGGTTAATCCGGCCCTGCAGATAAGGATAAATTTATCGATAAAAAATGGTACTATTTCATTTTGTTGGGTCGTAAAAAACCTCTCACTGAAGTACCTATAATAGTATATTTCCATTGTCCCAATACTAGTTGTGCTTATTTCCACTATTAACTAGGCATCGCAGGTTTCAATAATTTGGCAATTTTTTATGATCCCTGAAATGATATAATATCAGGGACGATCTAATATAATTGTTTTGAAGAGTTTTGCGTGATACCTGGTGTAGCTTAAATTATTTTAAATTTGAATTTATGTATTGTGTTTGTTAATAATGAGGAGAGATTTCTGTATCGTGGGGGATATTTCCATGTCGTGATCTGTGGCAGAATAATCACCAAGTCTTAGCAACTTCTGGGTAGTGGCCTGCTGGAAATTAAAAAGAAAAATCACAGGAAGGAATTAACTTGACCGGTATTAACTCTTAGCCATCCCAGGTCAATTATCTACATGTTTCTTTTAAAAAAATTTGCAAATTTAAAATTTACTTTGCACCTTGTCTAGTGTAGTTGGCACGACAGATCACAGTACAGATATATCCCCTATAATTATTTTTAAATGGCCTAATATTCGAAAGTTAAATTGGTTTAATTGTATACAACTTTATGATTTTATTAAGTGTGCTGGAATGTTTAAAAACAGCAAGTTTACTTGGTTGATTCATTAGGAATTGCACATTTTGTGTGCACAAAAAGTGCTTAGGTATTTAATAGTTGTGAGCAACAAGCAATCAGAATTCCACATCTCCTTCTATTGCATTAGTTTAATCAGAAATAGTTTGTTTTTTTCTCAATAAAAGTGATACTATTTCGACCTATCATCGACGTACTTATATATTAGTAACTATTGCCTCAATAGATAGTTCCGATTCCACAATTAGCTAAGCATCATTGGCTTCATAATAGATGATTTTTTTATAGCCCTTGAAATGGAATAATAAAAAAATACTCTAATTTTAATTTGTTTTTGTTTTATGTGACACAACTAGGGTAGTTATATTGAATCTGAATTATGTGCATTGTTTTTAATGGGAAATTGCATGTGTTTTAGATATCAAAAAATTGGTTTTACTCGAGGTTTTAGTTTAGGAGAAGAGACAGGCTACAAAGAAGGTTATGCTCTGGGCCTTCAGCGAGGAGCACAAATAGCCTCTGAAGTAAGTATTAATATATAGAATTGTATATATATATAATATATATTTTTCACCCAGAAGATGGAAATGAAAGCACTACTTTTGATGTAACTGCACATGTTTAAAAATCATACGTAGAGTACTTGTAGTGTCATTCTAAAAAATAAAAGTATGTGTTCTTAAAAGGTACTCAAAAATAAAGAAGAAAACCATCTTCGATCATTCAATTGCGGAAATTTTGTCATTCCGTCACACTAATTATTGGAAGTTAATGATCACATGCATAAAATTTTATAATCTTTCATTGATTCTTATACCAAATCTGTTTTATATTCCAAAATAAACACATTTTCATTTTGAAATGCAGTTGCTATTTAACATGTGACGGAATGACATAAATAAAGTTACTTTTGTTTTATATATTAATCTTAAAATCACTTAAAGACTAAGTTTTAAATGTTGTACTACGTGCATTATTTTATAAGGGTTCTTGAAAAAACAATTTCATCACAAATGTGAACAATTCACTTGTCAGCCATGTGGTTACTTTAGAATGCTGCTAGATTCAAAAAACTTAAAATTATCAAAAATAAAACAGGAAAATGTAAACATTGGCTATTCTTGAACATATTTTTAAAATCCAAATATGCAATTAATAAAAAAAGATTTTCCCTTAAAAGTTGACACTTTTATGGAATTGCCCAGTATTTAATCTTTTCCGAACTTCTATCTCTCCTATTTATCCTTTCAATTTTAATGTGTTATAATGGAAGTCCATCTACCGAGAATGAAATATTTTTTATTGATAAATATTTTTTATATTATTTATTAATAAATATTTATTATGCAAATATTTAGAAAAACTTAGATGGATAATTTTCAAAATAATAAAAACCGTAAAAATCATAAACGTAAGAAAATGCGATCAAGTTTTAGATTGCATATATAAGTAGACTTGGATAAAAAGAATGCATACAGTATTCATGTGAGGGACTCTATGCATTATGCAATTTGTGTCATTTCATATTTTCTTTTTATTAAAGTGTTTAATGAGAACTTGTTCTTCAACTATAAATTGTTCTAATAAAGTTTAATATGACAAAATTTTTCACTTATTAATTACAGATAGGGTTTTATAAAGGATTTGCAATTGCTTGGATGATTGTCTTAGAAGGAGAAGAAACTGCAAAGCTAAGGTATTTAATTGATTTTGTGTGATATCATATTTAATTATGATTTTAGTACTCTCAATTTCTTTTAAGTTGATTTATAAAATTAATTTTAGCTCATTAAGTAGGAAATAGAGGTGCTATCCACATAACCAGTTGGCAATAGGTTTACTCCTATGCTAAGGCCTCCCTCTGAAATTGAGTAACATTTTTAGATGAGAGATGTTATTAACATCTTTTAAAGTGAGATTATGTCGTTCTTTGATTTGTTCTGCGGAGAAATAATTTATGGAGGAGGCAATTATTTATAATCAAAGTAACACCTGACATATCTTAAGCAATTCAATGAATTTTCATAACACTGCTTTACAATATTAACATCACAGGCAAAAATTCAAGATTGAAATTTTTATACATATTTGTATGATAATCTTCTCATTGCAATACAATGTTTTTCAAAAATCTATTTTTTATGAGCTTTCTGAAGTTTTATTCTAGCGTTTATAGTATTAGCAAGGGTAAGAAAACAATTATCAAGCCACTTTTCTCGAACACTTTCTTGAAGCCTTTACGTTTTTTAATTGCATGAAAGTACATCCATGGGCTAATCAGGGACAAGAGTGCTGATATTTTCAAAAATTACGGATATTTTGATATATACCTTGTGACAATATTCCATAGCACTCATGTCTTTCTGTAAAACATTTTTAATAGTAATAAATATATATGTTACTAATTTAAATCTGTATATAATATTTTTCTTATTGTAAATGTAATAATTATAAAAGAATTAATTTTCAATTTATGGGTGATATGTTCATATTTTGAAGGGCAAAAAAATCACTAATTATTTCCTTATTTACATTTTGCTAGTCATCATCACATAAATAAAAGTCATCAAATTTGTGGCAGTAACTGCTAAAAAAAGATTTATGAAAAAAATCAATTTAATTTACAACAAAATCACAAGAATCAGACTCTTCAAAAGGGGTTCCTCGTGTGCTTTTCAAAATTTGTTTGTAATAAATAATATTCTATTAAAAATATCTGATTATAAAAACTATACGGAAACCAATAGCAATAACTGGCAAAAAATCTATTAAAAAATGTGATAGAATCTTTCGTCAAGAAGTAAATACTCAAATGTGCAATTCAAATTTTCCATCTTGTAAAAAATATATCAGGCTCTTTAAAAATCGCATAAAACTCAAACGCTATATCTGCTTTAAAAACAATCAAAACACCTTATAGATCTCTAATACTAGCGACGTAAATTGAGGGTGTCAAAAATTTATTATTTAAATGCGCAGTTTGAATTTCACGTGTCAAATAAAAAAATACCAGAACTTTAAAAACCTTTTTGAACTTTGTAGAAATTCAACTGCCAGTAAGTTCAAAGAACTGTGGTAATGTCACAATAAAAAGTGAATAATCAAAGTCTCAATTTAAATTTTGCATTACATAAAAAATTATATGTAAAAACATCAGGATTTTCTCATGGGGAAAATTCTTTGCAATAACTGTAAAAAAAATAGTTGATTAACGATGTTTTTGGTGCAAATCTAGCGTTCAAAAAAGTAATTACTTGAGATGCATATTTAAAAAATCACGCATAATTGCAGAGCCATTCCAAGGAAGAGCTCTGCAGTGAGAAATGTGGCCATCCATAATGGCGTGATCCCTGCAAAGGGTATAGTGGGAGTCCAGAAAGGTACTAATTTTAAAAAAGAGGTCCAGCAAAACTGTCATGTTGAGTAAAAAGTGTTAACCTTATGGTGGGGGTCAATCGGTAACTTTTTCTAAGAATTTCTTCAACTTTTAAAACCGGTTATCATTGATAAAATTCTTGATAAGACGCTTGATCTTGCTAGGTATGTTAGTTGTATATACCACCATTGTTGTCCTTATCTATCAATTCCAATTTCAATCAAAGACTATACAATTCTCTACTATGTCATCCAGAACCTGATTCTGATAAAAGATCTCTAATTGGCATATTTTTTTTTTATTTCAGAAAAATAAATGCACTGAAATCATTACAAGAAATGACAGAGAATTTCCCTCACACAAATATTCAAGATGATGAATCAGTAAATAAACTCATAAAAATCAGAGCTAAATTCAAGCAGGTATATATTTTTTTATGGTACATAATATTTTAAACTTTTAAACAAATATGATGTGTATTCACGTATTATTATTGTGGTATTAACTCTGTAGTCTGATAAGCAATCTTGGCATATTTAATTTAAACTCGCATCAGTGTATATACTCCATACAAAGGGTCTGCTCAGGAAAAACAGTAATTTCACAAAGTACTTTTAAAAAAGTAAGTTCTCATGCAAACCCCGTTTTCATTGCAATCTATGGAAACGAGCTTTTCTGCAAGCTGTCTTTTGCAAAAAGGTCAGATAGTGCAACGTAGTAAGCCTAACTGGTCGCTTACGCCATATCAAAGCAAGCTTTTTTTTTTCGCTGAGTTTTTAAAAATGAAACTACCAGCCCTCTATAAACTTTACAGGAAGTCAAAATCTGAACATTATTCTAAACATTCGAACATTATCTTCAACACTGTTGTTAATTTATTCTGACATACCTTTATTTTTTATAAATCATTTTTTTCTCTGTGAAACTTTTTTTTTTGTTGACCTAATCAAAAATGTTCTCATAATGAAAAAAACTTTTACTGCTACTGTTAAATGCATGTTTTTATTAAATTCCAGTTGAAATTTAACCATGGTCAAATTTGGATATTATTTTAATCCCAAGATTTTACAATAGCAAAATTATTTTTGAATATATGGGAAAATATGTATCAAAATTTACCAGTCATAAATTATTGCACTATCATGTGCAACTCTCCTGCATTTTGCAAGTTATTCTCAATTTCAAACTTCATTTTCCACCCCCTCTGATATGGAATTTAAAATCTACTGATGATTTTATAATGACTAATATAATCAAGAAAAGAGTTCTTTATCAGAAACTAGTTTTGATCATGTAAAGTCTGGAAATTATTTTGAATTTTGTTATTGTATATAGTGCTTAAAAATATTTTTAGACTCCTTAAAAAGTGCTTATTTTTTGTTGAAAGATTTGGCTACGCATCCTGAATATATAACCTCCTTAGGCACGGAAGTAATAACTTTTAAAAAACCACCCATCAATATCACAGAAGTCACATAAGACTTCAGAAATGAGTCTCTGTGACTGTCACATTTTTGTTGCAATGTGGTGACTGTGCTATCTGGGTAATGGTTCTACATTTAATTTTATGAAGTCTTTACATAATCAACCTTTTTTTTCTCTTCATTTTTATCTTTTTAAAGGCTTAAGTTATTGGAGCCAAATAGAGAGAAGAGCTATCTTTAATTTTGTTATACTTAAACAATTCTTCAATTTGTTTATTTTGATATCATCCTGTTATTTATAAGCTTTTAGAGAAATTGGTAAATTTGATATAAATATTACTCTTTGAGGTTCAATTCTAATTGTTCCCACAGCATATTCATCTTCTACAAAAATCTTTAAAAAATTCCTGAAGTTTAGAGTTTTTTTTATCATATTAAAATTGCCATATTGCATCGACATGACTTTCGCAATGTAGCACTCCATTATCATATTATGACCCGTGAAGACTTGAAAATTCAAGATTATTTTCAGTTTTGTTATTTAAACTTTTATTTTTAAGTCCATTTTCTATTTTATATTTCTCTCAATGTTTTTTTTTTACTATCTTTTTTTTTCTCATTGCATTTGTGACCAAAATTTTCTTTTCTTTAACATTCCTTCTTTTCTTTGTTTTTAAATTCTTTATCTTTATTTATCATTTTCTTTTCTTTATCATTACTATCCTTAAAATGGATTTCAGGAGAAATGTGTAATGGCAGGTCTTTTTTTTTATATATATAAGCAAAAAAAGTGAAGAAAATTCAAGACTATTTTCAGTTTTGTTATTTAAACTTTTATTTTTAAGTCCATTTTCTATTTTATCTTTCTCAATGTTTTTTTTTTACAATCTTTTTTTTTCTCATTGCATTTATGACCAAAATGTTCTTTTCTTCCAAAATGAATCCTTTTCTTTATTTTTAAATTCTCTTATTTTTCTTTATCATTTTATTTTCTTTATCATTACTATCCTTAAAATGGATTTCAGGAGAAATGTGTAATGACGGGTCTTTTTCTTTTATAAGCAGAAAAAGTCATCAAGTTCTACCGCTTTTGCCTTACTTCCTGTTTCTCGCAATCAATCACCAATTAAAACCCAATTCAAGCTTTTAAACCTAATATTGCTTAAGGTAAATCAGTATTTAAGATATGAAACTGAACTGATTTAACTGTGTTTCTAGTTTTCAGATTTAAGGTTTTGTTAAATTGCAAATTACCTTTTGTTTTACCTTTACAAAGTTTATTTTCTTTTAAACATTAAATTTTTTAAAGATTTTAGTGGGAATTATATTTAAAGTACTACCTGTGTCTACATTTAAAATGATAGTTTTATTAGTCAAAATTGGGTATTTTTCATTTTTAATGTTTTTATTTTACTATTAACTGACAATTTTGTGTATGGTTTAAATTTAAAAAAGTTTTAATTTGATGGGGGCAAACCTTCAAGATGGAAAGTCCTTCAATTATATGCATATAGCTTAAATTTATTTTTTAACCCAACTCTACCTTTTTAATAAAATATGAGTCTTTAGGTTGATCTGAAAACTTTAAAAATCACTGGAGCCAATTGGTGGGACAGAATATTGTTCTTGAGAAATTTCAATAACTTTTTCGAAATAATTACGATTGAAGCAATTATTTAGGTGCAGCTTTAAGGCTGAACTTGAATGAACTTTTGAAAATTTTTAAATTTCCATTAGTTATCCTAGTTGTGTTTCATGGTTTGGTTTTGAAAATGTTTGAGCCAGGTTGGTGAATTGAACGCTAATGTCTAGCTCAAGCATCAATATGTCAGGTTTCTTTTCTACTTCATCTTGATATTTAAATTTTAAAAATTTCTATCATTTTCTGAGTTTTCTATCAGATTATTTGAGACATCAGTATTAGTGGGTAAGTTCTTAATAGGGGTAATATCCTTTTCAGTGCACTCAGTTTTTAATACGTAGTTTTTTGTGACTCTTTAAGGGGCATTTAGAAATTTCAATTATGGAATATTGCTTTTAAGAGAGAGAAAAATTCAAATATTTTAGCCATAATGAAATTTTGAATCTCAGCATCACTGAAAAAATTGCTACAAATATAAAATTTTACCCCTGAATACATTATTTCCCAATGCTCATATATTAAACACTTATATAATAGACTAGGGGTGCACAACCTATGGCCTGCAAGCCACATGCGGCTCACTGACTGTTGATGTGCGGCCCGCGGGAACTTCTGAACGCAATGAAAAATTTCTTTTCATTTGGTATTTGTTTAAACATTACAAATTTTCTTTTATTAAAATATTTCATTTAAATTTATATTACTTTATAAAATCCTTTTTTTTTCTTCTGCACTTTCATTTTGTAAGTTTCTTTTTGGTTAGAATTTATATCCCCCCTCCCAATATTCATGTATATACAATATTTATGTATATACATATTCGATTAATTATTGTGAAAAATGGAAAAAGATTTTTAAAAAAAATGTATCAGTTTTTTTAGTTTTAAATAAATTTAAAGTATTTAATTTTCTGCAAATATGTTATTAAGTTTACCGATAAAAATATTTAGTGCTTAGAGCACTAATGATTTCATAAAAATTATCATATTTGCCGCTAACATGATTAAATATGTTTGCGGCCTTTCGTTAATCTACGTTCTGTGCTAGTGGCCCTTCACTCAAAAAAGTTGTGCACCCCTATAATAGACGTTTCAAAACTGTCTCAATTTTAATAATAAATAATACTCTCATATTTCTGATTCAAGAAAGAGGGAAAAAATTGGAAACTTATAATAAATTTTAAATATTATCAATATTCATTAGTCAATTGTATGATTATTTTGAACATTTTACTCAGAAATATTAAGCATTTTAGTTAGGAATATTATTTTTGAATTGTATTAAGAATTAGTGATATCAGAGCTTTGAATAATAAAATAAATTTTCAAAAAATAAATATAATGTAGTATCTTATTATTTATAAATACAATAATGTTTATGTTGTAATAAATAAATGTAAAAAAAAATCTTATTTTTTATTAAATCAAAATTTGTAGCTACCCTAGTTTGCATAAAAAAACTCACAGAACAATATTTCATGAACTAATTCATTTCTACTATAATAAGAAAACTTAAGGAAAAAGTATCACAAAAGATAAATTGGAGAGATAATTGACAAAAAGATAATTGGCATTATGAAAAAACAAACTGTTATCTATCATGTGTTATACTTTAATGATAGATCATTTATTATTCTTTTAAATAACTAGTTAAAGTGTAAATTATAACAATTTTATTTACTTTGAAACTAGATTGATTGTTATTCTGCGAAATAATTGGTTAAAGTATTGATTGTGCTGATATTTAACTGGCCTAATCAATTATTTTGCTAAATAACAGTTTCATACATTTAAGATAATACCACTTCTATCATAATGATAAACTGCACCTCAGTTAACTGCATGATTAAAAAAAAAGTGTTACTTGTTTTGAAAGTACTCATGTAACAGAATTAATATTCTTAGAGTACCTGTCCTTAGGAAACTCCATATGTTGAGCTTATTATAAGATACTACAGACATTTACAATATGGTTTTGAGGTTTTTTTTCCATTCTTTTTATCTTTATGTATTATGATTTATCTAGGTCTGTCATTATATATATCAAAACCCTAGAAAAGTATTTTATAAAACTAATTACAGGGTATCTGCGCACCTGTAAAGTCATGAGAAATCATGGAAAGTCATGAATTTCGGTATTGAACAAAATTTGTCATGATTTTAACTATTTAAAAAAAAATCACTGAAAGTCATGGATTTAGGTCGCCGAAAAATCTAATTTTTAAAATGAAATTCACCCCCCATCCCCAAATTTCATTGCTTTCCAAATATCTGAATTTGTAGCAAAAGCCCCACTCACAGTCATATCATATCATTAAAATATAAAATGTTTTTATCATGTTCTTTAAAAATGATGGTGTTCTTTCAAAAAATGAACGAAAAAGCATTTCTAGAGCGAACTGTCTTTTCAACTTCTGTGATTTCAGAATTTTTGTTATTGTTTATTTATTTTATCAATTTCAAATTCTAGCTGATACAAGCCAGTCACTGGCAATTTTTTTAAAATCCGAAATAAGAACAGAAAAATCCAGAGTATTTCTTTCCTTTCTGATAAACATTAAAAGAATCTTTAGAATAAAATTCTGCAGAAAAAAAGAAAAAATTATATGCTTTTGTATTTTTTTTAACTATTTTATTGCTTTAACTCTTTCATTACTCTGTTTTTTAAATTTAAAATCTATAAATATGAAGATGCAGTGTATATCAGTTTTGGTTATACCTATCATTTCAATTAATGTTATTATAATGCTTTTTTAAAATTTATTGTTGTGCTTTTTGTCAGAGAAGATAATAAGTACGTTAAGTCATGAAAAATTTTTGGAATTAGTCATGGATTTGAAAATCTGAAATGTAGCAAATACCCTGTAATTAAAAACTTAAATACTCTTGTCTTTTAATTAGTTTTATGAAAAATAGCAATATTTCTTTCATTTGTGAAAATGTTAACTTTGTGTTGAAATTATTTATTATTTGGAGAAATTTGTTAATTGAAAATCTTGTGAAACTATTTGTAGGTGATATCTCTGCTGAATGTAGAGACAGAATATGTAACTGAAATGAAGCCATCTACTCAAACACAGCCTCGTCCTGATGAACTCTCTTTTTGACTTTTCCTCTCTATCTGTATTGGACAAAAGGGTGTTTTTGTTTTGTGCCAAAAAAAGTCAATCAAAGCAATCAATGGATGATGAGTACGTGAAAATGTTCTGTTAGCAATTAGAAAATGTTTCTGCAAAAAGTTGAACAATTCAATTTCATGAACTTGGTAGTGCATAAATNTTGCTACAAATATAAAATTTTAGCCCTGAATACATTATTTCCCAATGCTCATATATTAAGCACTTATATAATAGACTAGGGGTGCACAACCTATGGCCTGCATATGCGGCCTGCCGGCTGTTGATGTGCAGCCCGCAGGAACTTCTGAACGCAATGAAAAATTTCTTTTCATTTGGTTTTTGTTTAAACATTATAAATTTTCTTTTATTAAAATATTTAATTTAAATTTATATTACTTTTTAAAATGCATTTGTTTCTTGTGCTTTCATTCTGTAAGTTTTTTTTTGGTTAGAATTTATATCCCCCCTCCCAATATTTATGTATATAAATATTTGATTAATTATTGTGAAAAATGGAAAAAGTTTTTTAAAAAAAATATCTGTTTTTTTAGTTTTAAATAAATTCAAATAAATAAAAGTATTTAATTTTCTGTAAATATGTTATTAAGTGTACCGATAAAAAAATATTTAGTGCTTAGAGCACTAATGTTTACATAAAAATTATCATATTTGCTGCTTATTGATTAAATATGCTTGCGGCCCTTCGTTAATCTATGTGCTGTGCTAGTGGCCCTTCACTTAAATAAGTTGTGCACCCCTATAATAGACGCTTCAAAACTGTCTCAGTTTTAATAATAAATAATACTCTCATATTACTGATTCAAGGAAGAGGGAAAAAATTCAAAACTTCTAATAAATTTTAAATTTTATCCATATTTATTAATCAATTTATTATTATTTTAAACATTTTACTCAGAAATATTAAGCATTTTAGTTAGGAATATTATTTTTGAATTGTATAAAGAATTAGCGATATATTTTTTGAGAGCTTCGAATAATAAAATAAATTTTCAAGAAATAAATATAATGTAGTATCTTATTATTTATAAATACAATAATATTTATGTTGTAATAAATAAATGTAAAAAAAATTAGAAAAATCTAATTTAAATTTTTAAAAAAATCTGATTTTTTATTAAATCAAGATTTTTAGCTACCCTAGTTTGCATAAAGAAACTCACAGAATAATATTTCATGAACTAATTTGTTTCTACTATAATAAGAAAACTTAAGGAAAAGTATCGCATATCACAAAAGATAAATTGGAGCCTCGCATTATGAAAAAACAAACATTGATCTATCATGTTTTATACTTTAATGATAGATCATTTACTATTCTTTTAAATAACTAGTTAAAGTGTAAATTGTAACAATTTTATTTACTTCAAAACTAGATTGATTGTTATTCTATGGAATAATTGGTTAAAGTATTGATTGTGCTGATATTTAACTGGCCTCATCAATTATTTTGAGAAATAACAGTTTCATACTTTTAAGGTGATACCTCTTCTATCATGATGGTGAACTGCAGCTCAGTTAACTGCATGATTAAAAAAAAGGGCGTTACTTGTTTTGAAGGTACTCATCTAACAGAATTAATATTCTTAGAGTACCTGTCTTTAGGAAACTCCATGTGTTGTGCTTATTATAAGATAAGTTATAAAATACTACAGACATTTACTATATGGTTTTGAAATGTTTTTTTTTCCTTCATTCTTTTACCTTTATGTATTATGATTTATCTATGCCTATCATTATATATTTCAAAACCCTAGAAAAGTATTTTATAAAACTAATTAAAGGGTATCTGTGCGCCTGGAAAGTCATGTGAAATCATGGAAAGCCATGAATTTTGGTATTGAACAAAATTTGTCATGATTTTTAACTATTTTTTTAAAATAATCATTAGAAAGTCATGGATTTAGGTCACGGAAAATTCTAATTTTTAAAATGGAATTTAACCCCCCAAAAATTTCATTATGTTCCAAATATCTGAATTTGTAACAAAAGCCCCACTCACAGTCATATTTTACTAAAATATAAAATGTTTTTATCATCTTCTTTAAAAATTATGGTGTTCTTTCAAAAAATGAAAGAAAAAACATTTCTAGAGTGAACTGTCTTTTCAACTTCTGTGATTTCAGAATTTTTGTTTTATTTATTTTATCAATTTCAAATTCTAGCTGATGCAAGCAGTCATTAGCAATTTTTTTTTTAATCCGAAATGAAAACAGAAAAAACCAGAGTATTTCTTTCTTTCTTATAAACATTAAAAGTATCTTTAGAATATAATTCTGCAGAAAAAAAAAGAAAAAATTATTTGCTTTTGTATTTTTTTCAACTATTTTATTGCTTTAACTCTTTCATTACTCTGTTTTTTAAATTTGAAATCTATAAATATGAAGATGCAGAGTATATATCAGTTTTGGTTATACCTGTCATTTCAATTAATGTTATTATAATGCTTTTTTAAAATTTATTGTTGTGCTTTTTGTCAGAGAAGATAATAACTACGTTAAGTCACGAAAAAATTTTGGAATTAGTCATGGATTTGAAAATCTAAAATGTAGTAGATACTCTGCAATTAAAAACTTAAATACTCTTGTCTTTTAATTAGTTTTATGAAAAATAGTAATCATCTTCCAGTAATCAAGAAAACTTCAATAGTAATCAAGAAAACTTTCATTTGTGAATATGTTGACTTTGTGTTGAAAATATTATTATTATTTGGAGAAATTTGTTAATTGAAAATCTTGTGAAACTATTTGTAGGTGATATCTCTGCTGAATGTAGAGACAGAATATGTAACTGAAATGAAGCCATCTACTCAAACACAGCCTCGTCCTGATGAACTCTCTTTTTGACTTTTCCTCTCTATCTGTATTGGACAAAAGGGTGTTTTTGTTTTGTGCCAAAAAAAGTCAATCAAAGCAATCAATGGATGATGAGTATGTGAAAATGTTCTGTTAGCAATTAGAAAATGTTTCTGCAAAAAGTTGAACAATTCAATTTCATGAACTTGCTAGTGCAAAAATATTATTGCTTACACATAGTTAAATGATTTCTATTAATTAGTTGCCTTTGATTTTAAAAAAATTAATCATTAATTTCTATATCATTAATATCTATCACTTTTTTTCCAAGTGGGGTTTTAAGTCTGAACCCAATCACTTGTTTCAACCTTTTATGAAAAGAATCTTATTAAGAATATTCATTAAAAAAAACTTGGAAAAACCAATAGCTCGATCCGTCATATGATGGAACGACAAAATATGTTATGCGATTTTTAAAAAAAGTAGAGATGATTTAAATATACTATCTTCAATAGGCCTTTCAAAGATGACAGTTGCTCAATTACATGGTTTGAAAATCATGAGCATATGATGCTAGATCTCGTTTGATTAGAAAATCAATGTAATCTCCCATTCCAATTATTTTTTTTCCCTTAAAAAAGTGCCTGTACCCTTAACTAGGTGCATTTACCAGGCGATCGGTATGGTCGGATCACTTTGGCTGCTCCAAGCTTCATATACTGAAGTGAACAAAAATTTAAAATTCATTTGAGGGAAACTACCTGTAAAAATTTTTAATTTTTTATTAAGGTACAGAAACTTAATTGGATGGGCAGGGAAATTTTTGTTGCTTCTGCACGAAGAAAAAGTTCTAATTTAAATGTGAGGTTCCTAAATCATATGAATACAAAGAGCAATCAATGATACCTCACCATTAGAATTTGTTTTTAGCATGAAAATGTAACTCATTGTAAGGACGAGGCATATAATTTACATAACTGTGCAGTGTCAGCGATGGAAACGATGTCATTTGAACATCCTGTGAATATGATCATACATTCACACAAATGCCTTAGAAAACCAAAGTTTATCAACAAAAACTATAAACGTAAGAAATTACAGGGTGTAGCTATAAATGTCTATGACTGATTTAATAACTCTTGGAAATACAGCAGAAACATAACCCAGATACCAAAATATGGTTTATTTTGAATCTGCAAAATCCTTTTAATGTAAACCTAAAAAGGTTTTTTGTGCAGTTTACAAGTAAACCTTCTAACTTTAAAACAAGATCTGTGAAAATCTCCTCTATTCTACCCACATTACCCTTAATTCAAAACCTTGGAAAACAACCTTCTATATTAAAACCTTTAATCGAAGTTGTCATAAGGTTTTCAAGCGTGAAAAAATCCTTGAATAAAGCTAGTCTTAAGGGGAAAATAATCTTAAATCTAGGTCATTATAAGGTTTCTTTTTGCAGTGTCTTATATGCTCAGCTAAAATCTACCTTGTCATGAAATTTTAATGAACAAAGCAATTTGATTCTATCGCTAGTGTGACCTCAGGTGAAGCGTCATTATGGACCTAAATGACTATTTTACTTAAGTGACAATACTTTTTAAAAAAAGCTTTAAGAAAATAATTTTTAATCCTTTTAGGATGAAAGGTTTGAAACTGCCATATTTTTGCTTTATTGAAAAAAGGTTTTTATTAGAAACATTTTCGTAACAATAAAAAGAAAATTCTGACACAGGGTTGCTGTAAGGTTACATGCTTCCTGGGATACTCATTTAGTGTATTCTAAAATGACCTCTACCTGATGTCTTGCACTTCTGTACTTGGCTGTAAAACTTTCAGAAACAAGTTTGGAATGCTCTTTAATTCTGATGTTGGGGTTTTCTGAATAAGTTACAATATCGTTAAACCTTGCTTCTTAACTTAGTTTTTTGGTTTCAAAAGTTTTGGAGATGATTCACACGCCATTCTGGCAAATTTTTTTGTTTCTAAAATTAAAAATTTGCTAAAGGACCAAAGTTTATGGATGTGGAAGACATTAACAATGTTAAAGTTTAAAAAACATTCCAAAAGAGGACTTTAAAAGTTGTTTTTAAAAATTTTAATGACAAGCACAAAAGTGCAGTTTATTGGTTAGAGGTTACTTTGAAATGGGTTCATATGACACCTTTCAGGAATTATTAGATCAGTTTTGGAAATGAAT